TCAAAGCGCTCTTTTATAAATTTTAATTAAGGTAAAATTTTTAAATTTCATTTTTTTTAACTAAAAAATTTTGTAATTATAAAAAACGAGTAATCTGAGTAATTTGCTTAATTTATTATTGTATTTTTAAAATTTTAATTAAAAAACTTAATAAAAAATTTAATAAAGGGAGGAATGTTTTCTTATTTAAATTACTTTAATTTTTTATTTTTATTATTTGATAACATGAATAAGTTAATTAAAATTTTTTAAAAACTATAATTCAGGTACATATACTTATAGTAGTTATATAGTTACAGAAATAAGAAATAGGAAAGTAAGAAAAGTGTTTACAGGAAACGTGAATTAAGCTTTAAGTGCAGGAGGTAACTTTGTGTAAAATTAGTAAATCATTGCTAATTCATATAATGCTGGTTAAACTAATGTAAGGTATTATTTAACTTATGATCTTATGTAGAATTAAGTTTCTGGTAATACTATCTAAGTTATATTCCCTTCTGCTTAGTACACCATAGCAGCCAGTTTAACATGTACTATTCAGGATAAAAATAGTTTAGCTACAATTTCAAGCACGTGTTCCAGTAATACTTCATCTAATAGTTTTGTAATTTAACTCTCTACTGCTCTTAAACCAGGAACAAGCTATATTATTAAAATGGTAGTAAACAATCCAACAGCTGTTGGTTTGACAAATAACTTCTAAATGAAATTCTACACAGATAACACATTAGCTACTCTACAAGGCCAGTAGAATGTAAATGGAGTTACTATAATTAATTAGCTTATCTTAATTGCAAGAATGTACTAACCCCATACAAATGTATATTTCTGCTAATCTCTAGATACTTGCCCTCTCAAATTTACAGCTAAACTTACAAATGCTTTAAATATGGGTGTAGATAGTTTATAGATTGCAACAAGCTATATAGGTACGGTCATTAAATTATAATCTTAAACAAAAGAGCTTTAATGTTGGATAAATGAGCTTGCAGCTTATAATTGTTAT